TATGCAAAACATTTTTGATTTAAAGATTTTTGTTTAGTCCCCTTGAGCAGGCACAGAGGCATTGATTGTCGGCAAAGAACAAAGAGCCTTTATAAAACTTTGGGGTCGTATTTAACCACTAATTATGAAAGCTTAGCATCTTGTTTTAGAGATGGGCAATTTGGAGCGCTCAAGTTGAACTAGAGTAAAGAATCCGACAGACACGTTCAGAGTTTCAGTCCTTGAACTCTAAAGTTTTACCCTCAAAACAATGTTTGAACGTCAGATAAAAGGTGACATATCTGTGATCTAGTACTACAACAATGAAACCAGTACAGAGCCAAACTTTAGGTTCTGCTTCTACAAAGCATACATTGTACAATACACCCATCTATGCCATTGTTCTTTTGATAGAAACAGCCACAGAGTTAGGGTTACACCAGCCTATGGGGGATCTATGCAGAAACAAACAGGTGGGGACCATAAATAACAAGAGTGTAACTATTGCTGAACAGCCAGTTTTCATCTCTGTATTTACTCACTTGGAAGTATTCTGTCCCATCCATGAAGCTCCCCTGTAACACTGACATCTTAGATAACAGCCAACTCGCTGTGACAATCAGTGTATAAATAATTTAAATAAAAAGCTAGAGCTCATCGTGTATCCCTGCTTGTTAAGTCATAAAATCACTGTTGGCATAATGGCTGTAACTGTGTGCATTACTTAAAAAACAGTGCTATTTCCATTTGTCATTTACAGGGCTCTGCATGCGCACCTCTAACTCGAGCTCCTGGGGCTCCTCATCAGACAGTGGAATGACAGCTATCTTGGTGATCTTGTAGACTTTGTGGTTGCCTGGTAAATGCCCCACCAGAGCTTTCTGTCGGATTAATATGAGCCCGAGAGGAAGATCTGCCGAGATAAGAGAGGAGAAGGAGGAGGTGAATCATTGCTGCAGAATTCCTCACATTCTGAAGGTGTGAAGAAAGCAGCTGCACAGCAGTCATTGCTAACAGCTTTTCTTGAAATAGAGTCCACACCAGACATCAAATAAATGATAAAATCTCTAATTAGTTAATCCATCTATTTAAATAATGTGTTCAGATGTATTTCTACAGAAGATTAATTATTTAAAAAACCCTCATTTGGTTCCATGAAGTAGAACTTCAGCTCACTCTTTTCATAAACAGACTACTAAACACGCACACTGTTTATGTATTGCACACAAATGGAATATGCTGGCATGAAATGGCTGTTATCATTCTGCATTTACCTGTGTGAAGCTGTATCTTTCCAATGACGCCTTCCACCAAACCCAAACACACTGGATTCCAAGCTAACAGAAGATCGGTCGCTGAAATACAACCAGCAGGTAGAACATCATTTTTTTACCTAAATATAACACAGTATATTTTATAATTTAAAAGGTTGTAGTGAATAACAGATAAACACACATTGACAGCAGGTTCAGATTCAAATGATTCTGTTGTTGTTTGTAGCAGTCCCTCTAAACATGAAAATTAAAACAAACATTTCATCATGGCACCTTCTATGACCTCATTAAGTAAAACTTCAAGTCAGTTATGACCGTTCAAACCAGTAGGAAAAAGTGTGTCACGCCTTGGCCATGGATTAAACATGGAAAACATTGATGGGTGTGGCTGAGGGTGGGGAACAGCAACTGTGTAGACGTAGCCTTGGACAATGTTTCTTCCTGTTCCACTCAACAGCGACAGTCATAAACAAGACAGCTGAAAGGCCTCAATAGGGAAAGGCCACATTAGTAAGGTGGTATAGGAAAAGTGTGACATGTCATCCAGATTCGGAATGAATACAATCATTGAAGTTCATTCCTGTGTCCTTTAGGGACAAGCGCAAACCAAGTGAGCAGTGGAAACCCTTTTTCCAATTAAATAATGAAACAGTGGTGCAACTAAAACCCTGTTCGGGGTGGCTGCACAGCAATACAGCATCGATAAGCACAGAACATAACACGCACAGCCTTTTGCTGGGTCATGTGTGGTAATTTGCATTTCTGTCAGTAAATTGCAAAGATATATTTGTCAAACAAGCATGATCTACATTTTGTCGCTGTTTCCAGAGAACCTTTGTTTTGACATCATCTAATAATGTTTACCAACTTTAAAAGCACAGAATGTGCTCCTATAAAGTAGTCAGCCTGTCATCCAATAGTCAGACTTGGTATGCTAATTGGTCAATATAATTTCAAAACCTGTTATTGTAAAACAAATGTAAAGATTAACCTAGATAAAATGTTGATTTTCACATTTACTTTATTATTTTATAATATAATGATGACCTAATCTTATAGTAACAAACAACACAAACTAAACTTTTTTTTTCTTTTAGAAAATGCTGTAATACCACACAGATATTATGTTACTATACCTATTTACAGTAAACACTAGAACAGTGATGAGTGAGAAGGTGACAATGCTTTCATTTCTCATTTACTTATTTGATGGCTTTCGTCCACAGTTCCATCCCCCCTTCCCTGACAATATAAATACAATCCCTCAAATATACATGATAGCTGATGGTGTTCTAATTTCCTATACTTATATTTCACTGAAACTATCATTTTGGTCACTGACAGAATACACAGTGTTTGATTTCTTTCACACAATATTTTATCTGGTTAAATAAAGGCTACAGCAATAATAATAAGGCTATAGCAATAATAATAATAATAATAATAATAACCATCATTACCCCACACTAGAGCAGTAATTAATGCTTATTTATATGGTTGAATAACTCTAGAGTTATTCTTGACTGGTCAATTGTTCCATAAAATAAAGACATTGTCTTAAATGTCAATTGACAGTGACTACTGTGGACATAGGCAGTCAAAGGTGTCGCTTGTGGTGTGTAAAGTGGTTTCATATATTTTTAATGCCATGTTGAGGTTGAATTGATTGATTTAAAAAAGGTAACATGCTTTCTGTGATAGCAGAATGAGAATGTTTGGTAAATACAGACTTTTTTTTGTATTTACAACATTTATAATACAATATTAATGCACAATCCTAAGATTATACAGTACATCGACTGATTCAATGATAGTGAGGCTAACCCTCTGCTAAAGCCTGAGTACAGCCTCTTCTGAAGACCAGGAGACTCAAAAGGTCTTCAATACCTCATAAGGGGCTTAGTCAGAACTTTGAATGTGTATGTGGGGTGTTGGCACTGCTGGGTTGAAAGCTGTGAAGACGATTTCAAGACTTAAGAATGAATCATAATGCTATGTCAGCTTCTCCGTACCAAAAGCCTGAGTTTCACTTCAACGAAGATCTGTCAGCGGATATAATGGTGAACAGATGAGACTTGTAAAGGGAATATTACACATATAGTAGGAGACGACGCCATCAACACATTAATATAAGACATCCCGACAAAGAATACGCTGAATTCATTAGTTTTATTCTCTCTAATGAACCGAGTGACACTCATATGGACAGAATGACAGGGCTGTACTCTTGTGTAAAGAACCTACCAGCTCTGACGGTCATGGTCCCATCTTTCCTGCTGCACCACAGAGCTCGGTCCCCGCTCTGGAGAATGTAATCGTCTTTGGCCTGGAACAGCTCCATTTATTCCCTCTTTTTGTGACAATGGTATAAACAAGTCACTTTTTTATCGACCAGGTGCGGGCAGGTATAAACCTCCACCTCTGGATGGTAAGCAGCGGTAGCCACGGTTAGCTCTTCCTCTGTCTCCACGGGCTGATGTGAGCGTTCCACGGAAGCCGAGCTAGCTATACAGAGAGCTAACAGCACAGGCAGCGAGAAGGGTGTCTGGTTCGTTTATTCCAAACCTAGGCATGATTAGCATTTAATTGCCCCAGTTACTGAAAAGACATATCCTCATTCTCCACATGCATGTCGCCCGCAGAGAAGACAGACGGTCATGAATGAAATAGAAAGTGCCCCGCACAACAGCCCCCGTTTGTGTCGTCACCGTCATCAGACAGTTTCCTGCTCCAAACAATATCACGTGATCGGTGACCGAGCTGTCATCACAGGTACATCAGAGCAGAGACAACAGAGGTAATAACTGTATAATAGATTCTCTGAGTCACGATATAGTGAGTCGAAATTTCCAGAAACTAAGTAAATAAATAACCAGATTACTAGATTAAAATACATATTCACTTTAATTGGTCAAATGACGGTTATATATCCGTTATTGACTATATATACTAATGATCAGTATCAGCTGGGAAGCCAAAAGGTGTTTGTTTTATTCTTTCGTTTATAAATATATGATGGAATATTTGCCAGTTGAAAAAAAACCGTTAGATGGCAGTGATGCAACACAAGCTATGCAGTGCTGCTAATAAATAAGGAGAAGCAAGTTCTCTAAATAAAACATGAAAATGCAACCTAAGCTCTGTTGATGGGCAAGAGTGTGAGTGAGAATAAATATTTGTATTAGTGCTTCATGATTTAAAATGTGACACTATTGCTGGACGGGTAAAGCCTAATAAAAAAGCAAATATCTGTGTTATTGTGTATTTAGTCACTAAACCCTACTGGTACCACAGTAGGCATGTTGATCACTAGTTTAACCATTACATTCTGTTAAGGGTCAATGAGAGAGCCAAATGTCAGGACAGTCATTCACATTCAATCCTAAGGTGAACTGTCACTGTCTTATTTCCATTTTTATTTTTGAACATGGTAGAAAATATTTTGGAAATTGATTTTTTAGAAACTAATCTCTTTAATTGTAAATTGTAGTAAATTATAAGCACACATCCATGTATGCCATCCTTTACCTGTGCACCATTTATTGTAAACCTGTGTAGATATACTGTATATTGCTCTCAGATCTTTTCAATAGATACGTCTTCCTTGTAAAAAAAAATCAAGTTTATTAGATTTTAGATATAGACTAACCTTTTGACCCAAATGATGCTTAAAATGGCAAATGGAATCATTTGCTGTCATCATTACACCAGCAGCTGTATAATGAGCTGTATAATCAGTAGGCAGAATCCATGTCAAATACATTTTTATTATCAATTATTATCAATCATACCAACAAGATTGATTTTTAACAACACAACAGCCTGCAAGGCATTAAAGGATAAACTCTAAGCCACAATCCATAATTTGTAATGTTGTGTTTTGTAGTGAAAGTGTCTCTTTTTAATGACAAACCTCTACACAAATATTCATATAATTGGAAATAGATTTAGTTTAATTGAAGTATAAATGATGGATTGCTTAAGTATTCTTTCCCTCTGTGTTATCACAGACAGTATTTTCAGGCTTAATGCCTTGTTATTACAGATTGTGGCTTTGGTACTTAAACAATACTTAGACAAACTGACAGTGTTCAGCTGTGTTTCCTTACAAGCACAACGTGCTGATTGTCTCACACCTGAAATAAGACACACCACCTCACCACTGTTTGTCATTGTATATTTGTAAATATACCAAAATACTATATAATGATATATAAATATTGATATAACATTTTGGAATTACAAGTAAACTAAAGCACATACAAACACACAAACACATCAATTTGCAACCTGTGTAATTTATATATTGAACTGAAGTGCTGCTGAAGTTTTAGCAATTTCAGTGATGGCAAAGTGCAAAAATGGCAAAAATCAGTAACTCACAGAAAACAGCATGTAACCAAGGTTTACTGTGTTCTTGGATGAAGCAGTGTTTAAGTTGAGTTATGCTTCGAAGTGTTTTCACTCCTGTACTAAGTGGTTACCACATATTCTATCATTTCTTAAGAAAATACTTTATACTTTAAATGTTCTTTAATTCTTAAAGGCCACTTATTCATACTTTGATCTAACTTGGGTGTGATGTCAGTGTACTGATCATGGCAAGTGTCTCTTTGAGACAACACTGGCACCACAAAGAAGGCAACAACAATGGCTTAAAATTGTAATTGCACTCAACTACCATCAATACTGTGCTGAATGGCAGGAAATGGCAACACTGTTATGCATGCATGTTCTAAAATGCTGCAGATAGAGGAGATGGAGAGTAAGCCAGTCCACACTTGTTCACCATCAGTTATACAGAAGTCTATCTTCCTCTCATCTTCATTGTAAGGTATAAAGTTATTATGAGATCTCCTTTGCCATCTCAACATTCTCCGTGGTGATCATTACGGGTTCTCCCTTTGGTGTCAGGTTGTCTACCTGCATCGCAGAGTCACATGGAGCTTTGGCTGGCTGCTCCTGTACTTGCTCCAGGTCTTCCAGTATGGTTTGAACCCAACGAACTCCATCCCGCCTTGCTTGCCTTACATCTACTCGACCCTCTGGGTCAACTGAGTCCAGTGCTAAGAGCTCCTTGGTCAGCAGTTCTTCAAGTAGCAAGTACTTCTTATCATTCTTCTTTCCATCAAAACATTTCACCTCCTGCTCCAGTTTAGCGACTCGGTCAACTATACTCTTTACTTTAATCAAACCTGGGTGACTTGCACACTGAGCAGCCTGCTCAGCTTCTACATTAGGCGGTGCAACCTCTGGAGAAACAGCTGTGGCATATTGGGCTTCTGATTTTGGAGGTATTTGAATTGTGATATCTGCTGTGTGTTGTCGTTGTAGCTCTGGTTTTTGGGGTTGTGGAAACTGCTGCTCTTGTTGTTGTTGCTGCTGCTGCTCCCGTTGCTGCTGCTGCTCTTGCTGCTGTTGTTGATGTAAATATTAGTGCTGCAGCAGCTGCTGCTGATGATGCTGCTGCTGTGCCAGCTGTTCAGGCTGCTGAGGCTGTGGAGATGTCTGGGGTGGCATCTGCTGAAACAGCTGAGGTTGTTGGACTGGTTGAGGTGATTGAGGTGGAGGCTGGGGCTTTTGGACCTCAGGTTCCATTGGCAGCGGCTGGGGAAGCTGTGTGTTCTCAGGTTTCTGTTGTTCTTGTTCCATCTTCTGGATTGGCTCTCTTGTTATTATATGCTGATGAGACTAAAGAGTTCAATATAATCCATTAGTTTGTGTCACAATCTTAGTAATCTGCATTATTATTATCATCATTAATAAAAGTCCAAACTATGCTATTTGAATTACCTGAGGTCTTTCTCCAAGCACCTGTGCAATTATAGGTGACTGGCTTCTTATATGAGGAGGGAGATGAATAGAAGCAGCATCGCGATGCGGGGGAAAGATGATTGGTGAGTCCCTTTCCCTTGGATGATGCACTGGTGCAGAGTACCTAGGCCATTCTTCTGTCGGAATCCGATGAAAAGGCTGCTGGTGCTCTGGGAAAGGCTCACGCTGAGAGTAGACAGATGGATTTAACTGAGGCTGTATTTGTGTTGTACCACCTCCACCTTCATGGATCACTGGGATAGGTATATAACCTGCCTGAAGACCAGCGCTGCTTGGACGTGGGGATTGGTGAAGCTGAACAATGCAAATAACAAAATAACAGTTACTTTTTTGCTATTTGTTTAATATATATATGAAAATATTTTAGAAACAAGCCAAACCCTACCTCTGCTGTTTGTGAAACTGGAGAACCAACTTTCACAGGGTCAGTGGAGCAGCTCTCAGAAGGACCATGTAAAGGTGACCTTGGCCTACAGTGGAGCCCAGTGGTCGGGGAAGGTATTGGGCCATCATTTCGGATATTTTGTTCAGCGGTGGGATAAATGTAGGAATAGCATGGATGCTGCTGCTGCCTCAGCTCTGCCCCCTCATGGAAGACTGGGATGGGGACATAGCCTGGGCGAAGTATAGGGTGTTGCATCTTCCTCACAAAGCCCTTCTGTGTTTCTTGAGGGCTCATTTCTGGTGGTACATTGGGGCCATTTGCAGACACTTCTCTCACCTGAAACACAATCAATGTTGAGAAAACTTTTTGACCCCTTGTTAAATTGATTATTTAATGTTCTGTATTCTTGTTCCTGGTATTCCAGAATTTATATGTACTTGTTACACATAATAGCAGTCATAAAGTGGATTAATTATTACAAGTATAAAAACGCAGTTGGCAAACATGGTGTTACAGTTCTGCTATCCAATAATAATATTTAGTCTTTCACAGCTTTAATTCAACTTCTACTGGAATGTCATGTCTAAAGAAAAATTATGACAGGATGTTTCATTTTGAAAAGTACAATTGCAATTGCATTAGCAAATTACTGATGCCAACTGCAACTAAATAACAATAACTGATGCCAATTACAATAAAACACCAAAAAAGATGCCAACTGCCACTAAGCAGCAATATCAACTTTGCAAGCAAAAAAAGAAATATTTTTTGGAATGGTTGGTGTAAAATGACTGCTAATGGGGGAACAAATTGGGGTTTAAAGGTTCCCATAAGTAAGTTAGGATAAGTGAACAGTGAGGCTATATTGACATTCTGCTCTTCACCAAATGGGACAACCACTTAGGGAAGTGAACAGACGATAAGAAGATGGTTATGGAGTAGAGTTGAGACAAACAGAGACAGGGCTGTGACGAGTGACTGCAAGTTGGTGCTCAGTGGAAGACGTGTTCATTTTGAATGGGCTTAGAATGCAACAATGCAGAGTCCGATTCTCTTGCACAACACTAATAACTTAGTCATAAGTATGTTAAAGTGTATTTACGGTATTTCTTTAAATATCAAGATTACCTGCAATACTATAGCAATAGAGAAAATGAATGGCTAAAAAACAGATTACATACGTCACTAGGGCTAATGCAATGTACAAAAGATTGTAATGCAAAAATAATGTTTATTATTATTCAGTAAAAACATATATTAAATAATTATTATTTTATTTCATTCATTCAATTCAGAAGAATTTGGCAACAGACCATTTTAAGTGCAATAGAATTAATTAAGAAATATCTGTAACATAGTTACAAGCAAAACTACCAAGTCATAACCAACAATGTTACCCCATCAAAAATTAGATTGAAATACAGAGCGACTATTCGGTCATGCTTTTTCAGTGCCTTATAAAAAACAAAAACATTAACAAAATATGTTTTGGCTTTAACACTTTCGCCAAACTAGAACAATAAGTGTGATGATTCTATTTTCACCTAAAATAATAGGCAGGTTGATTATATTCTCAACATACATTTAATAGATTTTTGTAACCCAAATCTGTTAGTTTGTTTAATTAGTTAGTTTAGTTTAAAGGTCAGGCTGACATTTTCTGAGAGCCATGCCAAAAGTATCACCTCTTTGAGGATTAGATAAATAGCTTCAGATCATTTGAGACTGTCCTGCATTTGAGCAGCTGGTGTGTCTGTGTTTCATAATATGTTCTGTAATTATCATGTTATTATTCAGTTTGATTTTAGTATTTCTTGCACAACATTCTTCAGCAAACACACCCTCCGATCAAGCATAAAATTAGGTAAGCATAACATCAGCTAATGACTTATGGACTGGTTATGTCAAGTTGTGTGGTGGTCTAGGCAACCGAAAGTCCCAGGACACTTGGCCTTTTCAGTGGGCCAAGTGTTCAACTCCGTGTGTTTAAAGTCATTATATTCTATGAAAATATGTTTTAATTATATTTAACTCTGAGTTTAAGAAATAAATGTATTTATTTGGTAGCAAAAATCAAGCCCTACTGTTAATAATCTTTGTCCTTAAATATTTAATCAAATCTTCAACTGTTGTGACATGATATGCAACTGTTCATGATTTAAAAACAGTCCAGCTGACAACCATACATGTTGTCTGCTCATTTGTATCAACAATGCTTTTTCTGCCATTTATTTCAGTGTAATTCATAAAACAGTTATAACAAAAGTAATTGAGAACTACTGAGATATTTTGTTCTAATAGAACTATTTAATAACTTACAACATCTTTCGTTTCTAAGTGAGGTCATTTTATGTGTTTTCTTTAAATGTTAAAACAGTATTGATATGCTTTATATCAATATGCAATTAAATGCTGCACATTTTTAAATCTCTAGTGATTATAGCAAAATCCAGATACCATCTGAATATCATTGTTATTGTATTGCTAGCTTGTTTGTTTATCCTAATTTTTATGTATATTTAAAGTTTGATTGCAGTGACAAGCAACAGGTCAAATAAAGTTCAAATCGGATTTGAATGGTGAGAAGTGAATTCAAACAAACCTACAAAAGCTTTTCTCCTCAAACATAAAGTTATGAAATAGCTCTGAACGACCCTTTGCCCTCTGCCATTTCAGACCACTGCGCAGCGCCAGCACACCATTGCACCAATTTTATCCCCTGACAGCTGCGTTCTTTCTAGCAAATTCGCCGGGACACTAACTTTGGACAACGGTGTCTGTCTCTGAGACGAAAGATTACCAACTGGCAGCCTGTGTGAGGCTCACTTTAGCCCACGCCGGGGTTTCTTCGCAGACCTCCTTGAATACAGCTGAATGTGATCGCAGGGCTGTAGCCGTGCACCAGCCTCAATCCATGTAAGGGAAAAAGTTTAACGTGAGACGGAGGTCGCAATGCTTTTTTCCAAAGCGAAAGACGCGTTGCTGAAATGCTGGTAGCTGTTCGTGGGTAGCCTGTACATACTGCAGGCTGAGTCATCGGGTAATAATAGTCTTAGATCATGACACACGGGAACATAACAGGCTTGATCATCCGTTATAATGGGCTTATGATCTGCCTGTGAGAGGGATACGACGGTGCCAAAGCAGGCCTATAGACAACAAGATTAATTTATAACAGTGATGTACCGCAGCGTCTGTGCTGCTCTCACTGCGTAACACACCAAAACACGCACCAGCAATGGAAGAAAAATCCCCGAGTTTCTCAGCTGTCACCCTCTATCATCGACACACCAACTTTGTTGCGCCGCTCTTTTAATCAATTTTGTCTTTACCTTTTTTGTGTCGTGTCTGGGGTCATTCCAGGTTGTCGTGCGGTTGTTGTGATCCACAAAGAAGGGCCATCCAGTGTGAGGGTCAATTTTGACTTCCCAGCCGAGGGGCAGGGGCTCGCTGTCATTGTTAGCCATCATCAGTATTGGCGACTGCGTCTTCACTGCGCTCATGTTGCTCCTGTGTGTCGAGTACTGAGACATTTTATACAGGCGACGGACGCTTTAAAGATTCCTTTAAGTGACGTGGTGGAGTGGGCTGGAAGTTTCTCGAAATAGAGCGAACAGTGACCGTCCAGGCTTAACGCTGTGGGCGGGTAGAGTCGGGCACAGTTGCGTGGGTTCTCCAACTTGTCATGTCTCACATGAGACCACACCCCTCCTTATCATATCTCAGCAGCCAACAACTAACCGAGGTCCAGTTCCTCGGCATCCGAATCCGACTAAACAAAACAGTCCTGGTACCATTTGCAGTGATTCTCTAATGCTGGGGCGTTACTCAAAAGTGGGTGGCGATATAGGCTGTATATTGCACTGCATTTAATGTGTGGCACATTAAATGCCACACAGGTATTCTTTTAATTGAACTGTAAGTTTATTTGTTGTGTATTTTGGATATTTCGGTATAAAAAGTTCCACACTGAAGCTGACGTGTAAAACAATATGTTAAAAACAGGGCTTTCTTGTAACGCCTTGGGCCAAATATGCCCACTCTGGACAGACCCCAATGTCAACCTATCTTTACAACCTAAGTTTGTTAGTTTCCTTGTTATGTACCAATGCAATACTATACTTACCAGTTACAAATACATATTTATAATGAAGAATCCTGGCGTTCTCATGTAAAAGAAGTCCCTAAAATTTGATTCGAATCCAGTGCTATGGAGCCGCATTTTAGCACTCTAATCAGTATAATACTATCAGTAACAAAACACTTTGACGTTAAAGATGGCATAAAATAATACGCATATTTACAGCGTTTTATTTTATGTTTGGCAATCTTTAGAGACCATAATTAGCTTCTTAAAAGTTAGGATGCATCCAATACAAAATAGGACAAATCCAGGTACTGTTTATTGTATCGGAATATTATTACTCCGTAGTAGAATAACGGGTTATGGAACAGTAGTCTAGTAAAACAATAGAAGATTTATACTCCTTAGAGTTTACATCAAAATGTAAATAACAAGTAATAAAATACATTAAAACATTACATGCATTGTTATAATAATACGTTGTTTTTGCCTTTCAGTCAATATCACGATACGTTTCTTTTTATCTTATGATAACCCGGATGTTTTCGGACTTCCAGAAAATTAACTATCACAGCGACAACTTTAACACAAGTTATATCACATTAACGGGCGCAGTAAACAACAGCTGTTTGGACACGTACCTTGCAACCACTTACCACTCTTCCTGTCTGTACCTGTCTGACAGGTGCCTTCCATTATGCAGATCTTATAAAAACACTAGTTGACAACAACTACATCCAACTTATTATTATTATTATAAATAATTACTCAAGAGGGAATACAAGTGTAAAATGAGCAACAAACAATTGCGTAACATTTCGGATATATTTAATACGTGTTTGGTGCCCTCTAGTGTATATTTATTTCAAAATCATTTTGGTTAATCTTGACATTTCAATTGTTAAGATATAACCTTACCAAAATCCCATAAAATAAAATAAAAAAGACACGAGTCATATTCTTTATTTACACCCAAGAAACAACTTAAGATCGGTGCATCAGCAAAGACAGCTCCGGTGCCCCAAGAAAGTCTACATCAAATGCCAAAGTCCACAGTAAACACAAACACAGCACCAAAGCGAAAGCCACTGCAATGCAAAAGCCAAAGAAATGAGAAGTTTGAGATCTTTCTATTTGCAATTCGGAGTTTTCTAGGCCACATGAGCCACGAGATAAAATATAACAATGAACCCCTTATATATTCATGTCTCCGCTTACAAACTTACTCACCTTTAACTATTTGCATGAAAAACACGTTTAACTCAATAACATGCTAATTTAATATTCGCGATTATAATACAGGTGCAAAGTTTTAAAATAGGTCTTTAATGTACAACAACAATTATGCACACATTATCACATCAAGTACTTATCACAACACCTTTGGACGTACGTATACGGTTCTGAAGAAGAGTTGGGCTGCGCATATTGGTTTCCCATGCAGTCAAATATTTACCATATTTATCATCGACTGACTAAAAAACTGAAATTATTCTAGTAGCCTATAGTATTGCAAGTGTATTACATTTTCTTTTCTGTTGTTATGGTTCAACAGGATTCTGGTAGAACACCTAACTAATTAAACGACTCGTTAAACGTCTTTCATGGATCCACTTGCACAGGATAAAGAAAAGTAGAGTTAGAAAATTAAATAAAATACGTTTTCACTTGGGTACTACACTTTCTAGAATAGTAAGAGTCCTTTCTCTCATATATAAACAACCAAAGCGTAGACTATACTCATTGCAGCCCCTGAAATTGTAAGATAATACCTGAAAGACAGAGTAATGATAAGGAAATGTGTAGATGTTTGTGATTTTTACAATCTCACTCTGACCCCGTCTGGACCCGCTGCTGCGCGCGCACCTTATTTCCGGTTACGCGGTGATGTCATACGTGGAGCCCGGTTACCTTCTTTACAAGCTAGTTTGCTCGTTGTCGTGGTTGGAACCGCACACTAGTATCGATCCGTTAATTAAATACATTCTTACTAATATTTTGTGATTTGGTGAACGCAGGGAGCGACCATGGACGACGATGTTTACCCCAGAACATTGTAAGTGGCTTAAGCGTCGTAATAACATCGTATAGTTGTCGTTGCATTGAACCGGTGGCTAACCTAGCTACTTGTCATTCTTACGTAAATCCTGGTAAATAGTAAAATAAACGCAAACGTTTGTTATTCCCACGTCGAGATAGTTGATCCTTTTTGGTAAGAAATGTAACATCTAAAGAAAAACAAATTTAAGGAATAACGTATAAACAAGCAAGAGTATTTTTTCTATTTCATGTTAGCACTTCCATTGTTTCCTGTACTGACTGTCAGTTGGGCAACTGGACATTTCATCATAATAATAATTATCAGTAAGCAAAAGAAAGGGTCACTCCAAAACTGTGCCAACAACCTCAAATCTGTAAACAAACTAGGTACTTTGTAATGTATATTTCTTTCATTTTGTCAAGATTTTAAAAAGAATTATTGTCGAAATTTTATAAATGTGTTTCTGTGTAAAAACAGGTCGATTTTTCAAACCTTTGTTTTAACTTTTAGTAGTTAGTATATAACGTTTTTAAACAAGTTACGTAAAACAGTAAAGTTGAATGACTGCAGTGCTGTCATTTATTTTTGAAATATGTATTTACATTTATTGAAGTATACGCTAAATCCACCATTTAAACTGTGTCTACTTCACATCAACCACAGCAAAGGGTCACAGTTACTAATTGCTAATAAAACTTTCACAACTCTCATTTCAATAAACGTCTCTCTCCTTGTAGGTACGTTGGAAATCTGTCAAGGGAAGTAACAGAAAGTCTGATTCTCCAGCTGTTCACCCAGATAGGCCCTTGCAAAAGTTGTAAAATGATCACTGAGGTAAGTGGTGGTGTTCACCTGTGTTTTTTGTTTTTCAATCTTCCCTTCCTTGTAATTTGCAATCATACATTCAGTTAATCTAAGTTACCTATACAAGTGGATTAAAATCTAGCAAAATCTAAATCTAGTAGCAAATGTTATATGAATTTGATTTGCAGGTTGATCATGGATGAGCTCAAAAACTTAAACCAGTCTACAGCCATCCAAACAGTGCAATTTTCCACTTCTGAGCATAAACTTTTTTTTGTTGTTGTTTTTTTTTCATTTGAGCTGCCCCCTGCTCACGAAGGAGAGTGGTTAAAAGCAGAGGTTGCATTTCATTGTGTGCAGTGGTGTGCTATGCATCAGTGACAATTCACTACTAAACTACTCTTCACCAGTGAAACATTATTTATGTGTATTAATACAAAATATTTAGAGATTTCTTGAGTAATGAACACCTGTAAGATGAAAAAATGAACTTTATTCACAATTTACATAGTTTATACTTTTCATCTATGACTGAATGCTTTTACCAAGACTTTGGGTTTTCTGTCACATTCAGCACACAAGCAACGACCCCTATTGTTTTGTGGAGTTCTTTGAGCACAGACATGCTGCAACAGCCCTTGGTGCCATCGATAAGAGGAAAATATACGGGAAGGTATGTCGTCTTTACTAAATGTGGCATTCAAAGTTTGTGTTGAATCATATTTTGCTGTGATGTTTTTTCTTTTTCAAATTGTATTATTTGTATAAAAAGTTTTTTATGATCTTATATTCTGTCAATGCATTTTTTGCTTTCAGGAGGTCAAAGTAAATTGGGCAACCACTCCCAGTAGCCAGAAGAAAGATACATCCAGTATGTGTCTTACAAATTGTTATCTTTAATGTAAACATGAAACTTTGATTCATTAGAGAGTGTTATAGATATATTTTCATTGTTGGTCTCTGCTTTTCTTTCTTTTAGGTCACTTCCATGTTTTTGTGGGTGATCTGAGCCCTGAGATTACCACAGAGAGTATAAGGTCTGCTTTTGCACCTTTTGGGCATATCTCGTAAGTTATTATCTAGAAGAGTTATTTTCTTGGCATGACATTTGTTTGTATGTATCTGTTTGTTTCATCACAATGAGAAACTGTACAACAACTTTTATTATACATTGTAAACCTAAGCCCATCAATTTGCCATGATAAACATGGTCAGTGTGAAATTTGGAAATACCCTAGATTTCTGATGTATGTAAAATGTTAAAAGATTGAAAACAACCTGATTTGTTGATTTGACAATTTGAAACAGTGCTTCTTAAGGGTGGATGTCCCAAAGGCATCAATAGCTAACGTTCTTTCTCAACTGTTGTTATCCTGCTGTCTACCACAGATACATTTTCTTTTATTTGGGTTAAAACAGGTGTGGTTTAAACCAGTTTAGTTTGTTAATTAGCACGAATGAGTATATCTTTAACTAAAAAAGGAAGTGTCAAAAATGAGTAGACAGGCTTGTATATGGGCAGTGTTTTAAAGTCAATATAATCTATACTAGGTGAAAGCCGCCCTTCCGCTCTCCCAACCCTCCACCCATCCAAACATGTTAACATTGGGAATGATGATTAAACTCTTTAAAGTGTGCAGATATTGACGCCAGAGTGGATGATTCTGTTATTTTAAATGTCATTGTATTAAAAAAAACCTACAATCAAAACACACCAGATGTCCTCTGGGTTGCTGTAAACTGAACCACAGACTTTTAAGGTCGTGATTTAAGTTTTAGCTTTTACCCAACTCTTGCTTTCCTTGCACATTGATGCTGTGGTAAGTAAAGTGTACTGTATGTCCACAAAAATGTAAGCTGTGTGTTGAACCTGAATAGCTGTTAGTCATGGGTCTCAGTGAAGTAATAGCACTTTGGTTATTTTACAGAAATGCTCATAGGATTGGACAGGAGCTTGAAGGCTAACAGCAAGGAACTGTGCACTCTGGAGACACAGATGTAGACTTTTTTCTCTATTTATTCCATTTTTTCCTCTTTGTCATTATTTATCGATGCTTTGTATTAACATGACTTAGTCTAGATGAATAATTACCACTACTTATTGTATTAATTTAAAACTATGTTTAAATTGTTTTATTTTGGTCTTCATAGTGTTGTTTGCAGCATAATAACCGTTTTTATTTAAAATGACTGAAAATGTCAATTTCTCAAAATTTGCAGCTCCTCAAACTCCATACTCCGTATTGGTGATAAGAAAGAATTGACCAGGGAAAATACAGAAATCTGTTAACAGGCCATGTATGCCGTTTAATTCCTCTTTTTCTCTTTTAATATTTTCTCTACATATTTTTAGAGTAGGAAGAGAACTAAAAGCTGATTTTAAGTATGCATGGTAATTTCATAGGATCTGTTATTTGATCATTTCAACCAGTAGCCTACGTTAGGGGGCATAACACAAAGTCATTCATTATTTCATCTCAAGCATTAGTTTAAAAAACATTTTAGGCTGCATGTATTTGTATTTCTTTTTGTCAAGTTTTACCTTGAACTTATACAGTATTTTGAGTCAGCGCTCAGTAAAGAGGTCATCAAAGCTAATGTAGGAGAGAGTAGAGGATTCACAAATCTGTGTCTTGTGTGGTTCCTTTTATTTCGAACCATTAAAACTAAAATGTGAACTGACATTGTCAATGTTTTTCCTTCAGGGATGCTCGTGTTGTGAAGGACATGGCGACAAACAAATCAAAGGGGTATGGATTTGTGTCCTTCTACAACAAACTGGTAAGGCTCCAGTACAAGAACACAGACTGAAGGTTATTTCCATTTTCTGTTTATTATCTAATCTTACAGCCATTTTAACAAATCATAGTACATACCAAGGTGACCGTTACTCCTATGTATGAGCACTTCTTTGATGTAAAATACTATGGTACTCTTAATTAAATACTGTACATTTACTGGTCTATTGTTGCAACTAACAACCAGGTATTGTCAAATGGTTTTTAATAAATTGTCTGTGTATTGGATTTCTTAGGATGCAGAGAATGCCATTTCCCACATGGCCGGGCAGTGGCTTGGAGCACGACAAATAAGGACCAACTGGGCAACACGTAAACCACCAGCTCCAAAGAGTTCCCAGGAGAGTAAGTTTGAAAAATTACAATAATGTGAACTTTTTCTTTGGCTTTTGTGGTGTGTCACACTATACTATGATTTAATTTTCACTTCTTAAATCTGTTGGATTTTACAGCAAGTAGTTCAAAACAGCTGAAGTTTGAAGATGTAGTGACTCAGTCCAGTCCACAAAATTGCACAGTATACTGTGGTGGGATCCAGTCAGGGCTGTCAGGCAAGGGTTTTGTTCTTGAACTTAAAGTTATTGACTGGATTTGTTTTTATTAAATTGTTTTAGCAACTAAATTTTCTGTTTTTTAAATTATTTTCTATAGAACATCTTATGCGGCAGACATTCTCTCCTTTTGGTCAAATAATGGAAATCAGAGTTTTTCCAGAGAAAGGATACTCTTTCATCAGGTACAGTCTGAGTTCATTGCATGGTTTGACCTCTAGATGTCATCACTCACTCTCAGCATGTCTTAAAGTCTGTTCTGTGTGGTTCTTCAATTGTGTTTTGAGCCACTGAAAATGATGGTTTTAAACGCAAATATTCTTAATTTGTCAACTTTTTCAGATTTGCCACTCATGACATTGCTGCCCACGCCATTGTTTCCGTCAATGGTACTTCTATTGAAGGCAATTTAGTGAAGTGCTACTGGGGAAAAGAATCATCTGATATGGGAAAAGTTCCACAGCAGGTAGGACAAATGTCATTAGTAATAAAACAAATTAAAACTAAAACTATTAAGTTATTATAAAAACTATTAAGTGTTGTTTGAAATAAAATGTTTACGTTTGTGTCTGTTGGCCTTATTCAGACGGAGTTCAATCAGTGGGGCCAGTGGAACCCTTTCTATGACAGTCCACAGCAACAACAGCAGCAGCCACAGCAGCAGCAGCATTACGGTCAATATGTGACCAATGGATGGCAAGTTCCCTCTTACAACATGTACAGCCAAGCATGGAACCAACAAGGATATGGAGTAGAGTAAGTCTCCTTTTTTGTGAATAATTATAGTGGAAACCATGAAATAAAAAAAATACATATTCACCTTTTACTCTATAATTCACATGCCTTTTGATCAATGCGGGACACTGAGTGTGTTTTTAATTAGCTTTAATGATCGATCCTTGCAGGCAATCCCAGTCATCAGCCTGGATGGGAAGCTTTGGAAACCCATCAGCCCATGCTGCAACCCCACCTGGTTCTGTAATGTCCAATCCAGCCAACTTCAGCATGGCTGGGTATCAGACACAGTGAGCTGGTCTTCGCCTCTGCAGGAAGCTCTGGAGAATAAATGACACCCATTACATCACACAGCATCCTCAAGTGAACAGCTTTGGTAAAACAGCAGGGGGGGCATATTCACAAAGCCTTTGTAGGTAAGACTTGTTCCAAGCAAATTGAATTTGTTTTTTTTTCCGTTTGTTTTGTTCTTCCTCTACAAAGACCACATGATAGAAGTTAACATCTTCGTCTTCCAATTGTAAAAAAAAAAAAAAATCAAGCTCAACACCTTAACCAGAGCCTTTTTTTAACATGCAACCAGGGACTATTAAATACTTTTTACTGGCAATAACAGCAAATGTTTAGTTCAGTTCAGTTTAATATTAATTCAATATTTGTCAAGAGTTTCTGTTGAAAAAGATCTTTAATTTCCAGTAAAGACAATTAAAATATCTTCATCCAAGAGGCTTTAAAAAATATTTTTGTATTCAGTGGCTGTTCCCTTAAAAGAGAGACACTTAGTTATTTGACATTTGTTACATTGTACAGTCTCCTTTCCTTTTTTTATGCTACCAAGAACTAAAAAAACATCTTAATTCTGTTTTTGCTCTCGCCCAACTGAAAATAAGCCAAATAGTTTTGTTGATCGCTCTTAAATAATCCAAACATTTTGACTGTGTGACTAAAAATGTAGCTCTCTTTGTGACAAGGGAGTTTACTTTATTAACAGTTCCAACATTTACAAAATCTAAAGACTCTAAACAAGGCCTGGGTAAACGTTTTGACACCGGGTCAAGAGCAGATAGATGGAGCTTGAGGATATATGGGCATTGCAGGGAAAAGGCAGAAGTGTAATGATAGTATTAATTAACACCGGGTCAAGAGCAGATAGATGGAGCTTGAGGATATATGGGCATTGCAGGGAAAAGGCAGAAGTGTAATGATAGTATTAATTAACAACATAATTTGGACAAGTTTAGCGGGCCGGAATATAAAGCCAAATGGGTCGTATCTGCCCCACGGGCCGTAGTTTGTGAATCATGAACAGTCATAATGCTCTCTGATAATGGCCGTACCAGGATCTACCTTTATCAATATGGGTTTTGAATCTATTTGTTATATTCATAATTTCTTTATGACTTACATACTTTAGTTGTTCACAACAATGATCCATATCTACAATATCCAGGTCAAACGCTTTGTGAATAGAAGCCCTGTGTCGTTGACTTGTTTTCAGAATATTTGTTCAAGCAATTAAGGCTTTAAAGATATTACATTTTCTTTAATTGCATCTCTTTGGTGATTTTTGTGTACAAAAAAAGTTTTTTTCCTACTCGGATCTTTACAGCAAAAAAAAAATGTTTTTAATGTTGTGTATCGGAGTGTTAAGTATTTTCTTTGTAGACTTTCAATAAATTTTAGTTTCATTTGTATTGTCGCCTAGTTTGGAATAAATTAATCCAATGCCATTAAAACGCTATAAAGTACACTTTCTTTGTACAAAGAAAATCTTGTAAATACAGAAGCAACCCCAAAACTTTGTAAAACGGACAGATTCTGGGGCTGGTTTCCTGGAGGAAAAACAAGTCTTCTATATCTTATCTTAAGGAAATGTAACATTTTTCTCAATGGTTGTAATACTTCACTAAAAAGTTGTAGTGCTTAACTTATCATATGCAGAAAACACCACTGGTTTACTTAATAGATCACTTATTTTTCCTGACAACATCATTAAGATCTTTATTTTTTCTTTTAGGTGCAAACAAAGTAAATTCCGCGATGCTTAGACACAGGGTAGAAATAATAAAAGGAGTTAATTTAGACAGTTGTTTCACTTTAAAAGCTAATGATATGTCTACTCTGCATGAAATGTCTCAGGTATGACACACTTCTTGCAGCTGTCTAGTTTTCTCATTTCTGCAGACAAACAAAGTGAGGACAAAAGACACACAGGTACATTTCACTGCATCTCACCAGTATCTGTATTTCAGGGGCTTCCTTTCCCATCTGGCTTCGTGTATAGTAAGCACATAATTTACTTTTAAACAGTAGCAAACGTTATAGGACAATTTTGCAAATGACTTTTGTGATGTGTGGGTAATGTGTCACCAAGTTTCCAACATTCCTGGTTGCCTTTTTCATCTTGCGCTAAACCCAGACAGTGCCTACACTTTCCTCTAGGTCTCTTAGTCAAATGTGTTCTTTGCAACTGTTTCTTTTTTGGGGGCAAAACAGTGTTTGGATTTAGTTGCTGGTCTCTGTTGTGGTAACACACACACACGTCCACTGGTGACCTCCTTGTCCACTTGATGGTAATGGTGATTTCTTAAAATGACCAAAGTGGTGTCAGAAACAGCACAAAAAAAAAGTTATGCACTACAGCTTTAATTTAGCACCAAATCCAGCCCCATCACTACTCATGTTTCACTCCCCATACATTGTTCATTACATTATTACATTATTACATCCATAACTAATTCTGTACACCCCTCCACTCACTTGCTTTCTTTTTTGAGTTATTAGATTTGAATCTGTTTGCTTAACAAAACAGTGTTTGATTGGCTGAGAGTGTAAATATGTCTGGATCACAATGTAATGTACATACTCTGAATAGTCAGAATATTGTTAGTTGGCAAAATAATTTATGCAGAAGCCTTAAATTTGTTTTACTGAAAGCTCCATCACATTCATTTTCTATTCTACTATGGAATTTTTCCACTCTTGACTTTTCTTTTTTTGCCATTTTCCATTCGTAGTAAAAGACGGCGACTCAGCTTGAACTGCATGTGAATGATGTGTAATATATATCTCCTGCTTAAAGCGCTGAATGTAAAGGCATTTTGCTTTTATGAGAGTGAAATGTAAGTTAAACAACGACGCTGATTTAATAATAAAGGATGAAATTTGTTTTTCAATTGTTGTGGGGAAAATAAAAGGTCTCTACAGACAAAGGCACATTTCAATCTGGTTGTTTGGTACGTTTATTACACACTGACAAACTGAGTTAAAGACACTGAGGCACCGTAACACAACCAGTAGATGTTATTACACCTGAAACCTGAAATGAAAAGTTTACTTGATAGCACTTAAAATCTTGAAAAAATAATAATTGTATCTTTTCTTTTCCTAAAATAGAAGAATGAAGCTGCTGTTCAACAAGCTTGTTTGATTACATCACTATCTGAGAGGCACAGTAATGGTTAGTAAATAAATGATAAACTACATGAAAACCTAAAAAACAGGTCTTTCTTTGTTGTCTCTGATTATACAACAATAAGACAGTTTAATGCCCTGCAGTATTTTTAACATTCAACAACGAGCAAAGCAAACATTGAGTGAGATGTCTGATAATTAATCTAACCTACTGTTAAAACAAATGTACATTCATCAGAAGTAACAATGTCCACCTCTACATTCAGGTCTTCTCTACAAATACACTGGAGCTTCTTTATTTCTTGAGCTTTAACCCTCCTTTTCATGTACACTATTGTAGGAGCCTAGTGAGCATTCCTGAAATGTACACAGTATTTACATCGAACTACAGAATACATGACTTCAACTGAATGGCAGCGTGAGTTAAGTGCTGAAGTATTTTGTATTTTATTGTTGATATGACTGAGTAATTGTCACAGTAATAGAACAGTAAGATAACAACATCCATCTGTGTTTAACTTTTGACATTCTCCTGTGTCAGCTGATGTCCACAGTGCTGTGATAGTTGTGTGTCTCACATTGTCACATGTGACAGTCAACATTGGTGGGAACCTCTGGTCTCCTGAAGGAGAGATTGCTCCTGGTGCCTCTGTCCACACAAACCAGGATGCTCCCGTCTGAGGCAGTGTCATCATCCTGGTTGGGGGTGAAAAGGAGGTAAAGAGAACATTTCTTAGACAAATCTATTTAGATTTTGGGGGCTGTTGTCATGACAATGGCACAAATTATACAGTGGGGCAACAAAGTATTTAGTCAGCCACCAACATGTTCACCAGGAGGATGATAACTCTACTACAACACCAGGAACTAGATCAAACAGTTCCAGCATCATGTTGTCTTTTAAGTAAATACTACTAAGAGAGTGAACATCTTCATTCTTACTGTACTTACATGCAGTTTGATAATGTTTTTATAATATTTTATAATCTCTGAATATTTCTGCCCACACTCACATGTTTGTTTCTCTCATATAATCCCAGTTTCTCCACAATCAGATCAATCCTCTGTGTGATGCCTGTCATGGAGCTCTCCAGATGGAGGACCTGTCTGGACAGCCTTGAATGACAAAAGAAAAAGACAGGTGAGCTCATGGTTTATTGAAAAACTAAATATTGTATTATCTTTCAAATATTAAAAATATTGCCAACTTTAAAAACTGCTCCCGGTTCACAAAGATTTGACCGGTGTGCCTCTGCTCGTTGGAGTTTTTGGCCGGTTTCTCAAGTAAGTCTTTCTCATAGTTCTTCCCCAGTTTGTTCAGTTCAGCACTCAGAGCATCCTGACAGACACAGACAAATGAATTAGTTTCAGGGTCGGATTTAAACCAGTGGTAATGGCTCTAAGAAAGTTTAGCTTTTTATAAAATGTCATACAAATTATATAAATGAAAGGTTTATCTGACTACTTAGAATTAATTATTTATCACAGATCTGTTGTGATGTTTTTTCTTTTATATACATATATTATAATGTATAAAGTAATTCAAATTAAACCTTTTTGAAGCTCAGCTATTATTGGCTTCTATGAGTCAAAACATTTTTTTTTGACCGGGGCATTAGACTGCATCAAAAACATCAAGTCCATGAAGGTTTTGTCTTGCAGCCTGTTTTGTGGTGTTAGCATGGTCCAACTGAAGTGGTGTTTGTATAATGTGAATAAACCATTCTACATTAACAGATAATTTATATTAAAATAACCACTTATTTTCCCTTTTTCACAGACCAGCCACCACATCTGGGTCAAACAATCTACTGCCACAAACCCTCTTTTCCTCCAGCTCCATTTTCATTCTCTGTTGTTCGTCTTTGTCCAAAATCTGGTTCCCGTCATGGTCAAACTGTGAGAAAGCTGCAGAAATCTCATGATCAGCATGTCCCATCCTGTGAGAGTAGCAGAGCAGAGCTAATTACTTTGGACTCTTCAACTACAAAGGCCATGTTTGGACTGTCACTTACTCTTTCAGAGTTTCTCTGAAGTCCTTGAATTCAATCTCTCCAGATCCAGAATGTAAGGCTTTCTGGACATCAGATATTTTCTCCTTTTTGAGTTTCAACTTCATGAAGGTCTTCATGTAGCTCTGAACCATTTAAGTAACAATTCTTCAGTTTGTAGTTTGGTAAAAGAGTAAAAATAACTGTTGAATTATTGTCTTCACCTGTTTGATGATGTCTGTGATCTGTAGCTCATCCTTCTGCGATGAGAGCTCCTCCTTGACCTCAGAGTACGTGTCATTTATGATGGCTAAAAACATGTTCTGAGACCAAAACCATGCAGTGAGACAAGCCTTTGTCCACCTTGTATATCATTTGTTAAAGAAGACTGACTTACCAACAAGACAAAGAAGACAAAGAACACGTAGGTGACAAAGTATATCGGTCCAAGAACTCTGTTAGCACGGTCGATAGCGTCATAATCAAAGTCTCCCAGAATAATCCTGAACTGGGTGAAGCTGTGGAATGGAAATGTCAAAATTGAGTTTATTTTTAAATACATTTATATTTAAAGAAATTGTGGCTGACGCTTCTTACATGCACTTCACAAAGGTGCTGAATGATTCCACCTCTGTACCAAAGAGCAAATATCCCAGCTGAGCGTAGGCGAAGAAGACGATGAAGAACATGATGGCAAATCCCAGGATATCTTTAGCACATCTCCCCAGTGTGGACGACAGTTGAGTCATGGTCTTATTAAAGCTGATGTACTTGAAAACCTACCAGGATCAGATGAGTGCATACATTCTTTAAAATAATGGAAAAACTCCCAACAAAGTGATTGAACTGAATGGTGTCATTGCTTTACCTTGATCCACGCAAAGAACAAGTTGACAGCATTCATGTTGTTGTATTGTGTTTGCCAGAATGCCAGGAATTCAAAATCGGCGTAGATATCTGGTTGCTCCAGCAGTTTGCCAAGAAGCTTGTCCACTTTGACCGTACGGAACACATTGAATGCGATGGCAACCACGGCCAGCTGAGAAAGAAGAGCGCTTTAGTATTCGGAAAATAGGCTTAATGTGACAAAAATACTTGTAAACATTAACTCTTTTTTTTTACCAATATGACAACAATGTCCAGTATGTTCCAGATGCTTTTAAAGTAGGAGAACCGATGTATCCGTAGCTCCAGAATCTCCTCCACAACATAATAGAGAATGAACAGGCAGAACACCACCTCGCAGCCAAGGATGAAGAAATCCCAATAGGTGATGTAGCGAAGAAGTTTGACCGTTCGGATCTGGTAAGAAGGGATTGCTCCACCAGTAGCTGGGAATTCAACTACCAACCTGGAGGAAGAAAATGAATCATAACAAGATAGGGTTTGTAATATATATATTTTTACTACATACCAATGCCACATCAAAACGTGTCCTCTGATTGTTGATGTTAAGTTTACCTGATTACACAGAACATGTTTATGTTTGCATTGTAGGTGGAAAAATCAATGAAGGTCACTCTGGTTCCCTGGTCCAACCACAGGTTGTCTATCAGTTCCTGGAGTATGGTGGCGCTGTCATCTTTTGTGCGGTTCAGGTCTTGGATGTATCCTGCTCCGCTGTATGTGGTCAGCAGGCCCCAGTGAGAGGAACCTTTGACCTGCTTCTCAGTGTGGTAGGTCCAACTGCAAAGGTGAAAAATTAGAGTAACTGTGTTAACAGTACACCTCATCTTTGGTGGTAGAAATAGAAGAAGAACGTACGCTGTTCCGTTGATGAGACCAAAGCTGAGGTCTTCCTCCTTCTTCTTGTTGTAAACATCGAAACAGCCTGTGATCTCATCCTGGAAGTCTTTGTGGACTTTGCAGGAGTTGTTTTTGATTTTTATTTGCCTCATCCTGGGGACACCCAGCAACATATTCTCATAGTAGATGAAGGACTGCTCTCCCCTCTCCAGTGACTGGTTGTTGTACCATTTTGTCCAGTAGAGGCCATCCAGTAATGGGCCTTGAGTGTACTGTTGAAGTGAATGTGGAAATGTTAAACTTTAATGTTGATTTGTCTCACTTGGAAATGAAAATGAATCTGGTCTGAAACTCACAGCCCAGAAGTCGGCCATGGTACCAATGGACTGGAACCTAACCCCACTTTCACTGGCCGTGTTCACAAACAGGTCGGTCATGGCTTTAGTGTAATAGTAGGTGCTGGAACTGGTCATACCATACGTCACTGCAAGACAACATAATCACAGCGTTCACACACACTCACTGATTCCTATCAGTCTTTGCCCAGGCTCGGCCCTGAACGCTGCTCCATTGAGAGGTCCTAGATAAGACTCAGCACTGTGGGAGACACGCAATGCCTCATTTAGGGCTCTTGTTTGTCGGTGTTCATGTCACTGTTGTCAAACAGATCCAGATTAGAGGCTGCCGTTTGTTTGTAGAAGAGCCGTGCTGGACGGACACAAATAGCCTCATTAATGAATGTCAATCTGAAGCAGACAAAGCCACAATAGGCGAGGCCTAATGCTCTTATCGCTAGAAGGCAAGAAAGCAGTGTCCGTGTCCTTTCACTCCTAAAGCTCAGCTGGACAATGGCAGGAGGACGGGGAGGGGCATTTGTGGTAGGCATTAAAACAGGGTAACTAAACAATTCAAAGTGCTCTGTACAGTTGCATCCTGCCACATGGTGAGCACTGATCTGTTAAACAAATAATCAATAGAAGCACGTTAAAGTGGGATTAATAAACGTGCAGCACAGCGACAAAGAAGACTGCCTTTGGCCCAGTGGTTGACATGGATCTGACTTGTAACTGCAGTGGTTCGAATCCTGATACTGGTCAGACTGTTGTGCAGCAAAAGCAGCCACTAAAACAGGGGTCGGGAACCTTTTCAGCAGAGAGAGCCAAAAAAGTCACATATTTTAAAATGTATTTCTGTGCGAGCCATACCATTTTTCTTTACTCTGAATACAACTGAATGTATGGATTTTTAAACCCGACCAATCATTTTATACAGTATAGTATAGAGTATAATATGTTTCTGAAGTATTAAAAAATGTATTAAAGTTATTTTTAAAAATTAATAACGTTGTTATACTATACATACATAAGATACTCCTTACCATTAATGTGACTTTTTGTGACTGGTACAACATGGTTCTGATGCAATTGGCTCCAAGACAAAAAACTTAATGTATGGATTAAAATGTGTAACAGAGTTATAAATATATGAAGAAGAAAAACCTTAATTTATCGTACGGTCATTAAATGCAACACCCTTGCTGACGGTCGGACTCTGCTGTCCTTGTGGTAGGTGTACATGAAAGGAGGTCCGCCATTAATTAATTTGATTATATTGATTTTATCATTAACTGTACTGTTATTTACTTTACATATTTCAGCATCACACCTGCGTGTGTGTTGCTCCAAAACGTGGACTGACTTTGCTTTCACTTTTTATGCCAGAAATAAAAGATGACGTACCAAGCTAATGATTTTACCACGCAACGCAAAGAGAGTACGCTGTCGCGGCAAATATATGAGAATGCTTTTTTTTTTTTTTTTTTAAATTACCACTATGATTTCTATAACGGTATACTTGAATATCAGCGCACTTATTTATTACTTATTGTGTTAAAAAGTACCAACTAAGATTTATCTGAGAGCCAGTGCTGGCTCGCGAGCCATAGGTTCTCGACCCCTGCACTATAAACAATGTGTTCATGTGGTTTAGGTATTGCATTTCTTCCTCCAAAGACATTTTTAATGAAAAAATTTAAAGAATATTTGAATTTCAATATTGAAACACTTTGAGTGTTTAAAATAAATGTCAGTAGAAGTTTTTAGCCAGAGTCTCAATGAAAATGGCTGCAGATAACAAAGATAAAAATTCTATATAAAACTCTAGAATGTGTTTGTCCTGTGATCACACAGGAATCACAACAAATCACAACTTGTAGGAATGAAAGATATTTAAAAAAAACATGCAGAACTAAAATGATGGTATTTACCATTTGTTCTATGTAATTCAACATTTCCAAAAAACTGTTTCTAATGTCAAGCAGAAACTGAAGAGAACATGAAATAGTTTTGGTGTCAGTTGCAGACTTACAGAGACATATGTCCACCAGGAACACCACGTAGACCAGTAACTCCCTCAGCGTAGTTCGTACAAACAGTTCCCTGTTGTTGGAGGTGTTTTCCATCAGTGTCGTGCCCCAAAGCCCTGACCACGAAATAATGATGTACATCAGCAGACACAGGAAACAAGAGGCAAGAATAAAAACATACAATTAGAGTATGAGAGATAGTCTTTCAAGTGAAGTAACGTGTGTCAATCTCACCTTTGATAAAAGAGCAGCAACCTCTTTGTTTCTTCTCTTGACTTTTCTCAGCAGGTGTTTGCTCCACAGGTGGATGGTCAAACAGACCGGGACTGTCCAGTTTGTACATGCTGTCCATGGAGCCCTGGAAAAGAGGCTGAGGGTTGTAGATGGTGCTGACAGCCCGTGGCAGAGGTGGAGGAGAACCACAGTAGCCCTGATTGACCCAGGCCCCTCGGCCCACAGCGTCCAGCTCACACTCCACCTGTCCTCTCAGGTGAGTCTCAGCCCGGTTGTTCAGACACTTCATGCTTTATTTCTGTGTGAAGTGCAGAGGTTTAGATGAGAGTAGAAGGTGAAGCAGGCCAGTCGAACAGCTTCTGAACACCTGCTGGACACATGAATATAAAGGACTGATGACATAATCTGTGTGGAGGGAGGAGCCGCTGCTCCTCTGATGGAGCTTTTGTAGTCTTGAGATTTAGACCTGGAAAACTCAAATGACGACATTATGTAGTAAATCAGCTGATGCATGGGTCAGGGTGTCTACTGAGACCATAGTAATATTTACTACTCGACTCGCTTTATACTCGATAATTATTATCCAAGACATAACCAGACCAACAGATCTAGATCTATTTTTTAAAAAAGCTGGATTTAAAAAAAAAAAACTTGACTGTGCATTTTTCCAGACCAACAGATCTAGATCTATTTTTAAAAAAAGCTGGATTTAAAAAAAAAAAAATCTTGACTCAACAAACAAGTTTAGTTAATAATTGAAATGACAAGATTATAAACAAAATTAAATATTTTGCCTGTTGAATTATTCACTAATTGGAAACTATGAAATAAAAAAGAATTTTTGCAAACCCTGCATGCTTGTGATCAACGGTGTCCATTATTCATTGTGGGTTTTCCAAATTTTTTTTAATCTTTATTTACTGTCACACAATGGTAAATGCTCTGACTTTTACACCTCTGATGATATGTCCCCAGTGTTGGCTTTATTTTGATATTAACATGATGCACATGTTATGTGTGTGTAGAGTGTGTAATTTTTGAGACAAATGTCAATTTTCTTTTTCAGATATGACATTTTGGAGCAGGGACTTCAGAACATCTCGCAGTACAAGAGAATAAGGTAATTTTTTATCAAAATCAGTAGAGAAAATTCCAGGACTCTTTGGGTTGTTGGTTGCGTCTTAATCCTCTTCTTGTACATGTGATGACAAACAGGAATAAGGTGCAACACTGTATTATTTTACTTGCTGATATTTTAATACGGTTAATACATATTTAATACATTTTAACAAATATTGTGTTCGCAGTTATAAAAATTAAATTAAATTAAATTTCAAACAATAAAGTAACATTCTAAAAATAAATAAATAACTAAATCCTACCATATCAAACTCCAGTCTCGGTCGTTTGGGTGGCGGTCAGTTACTCCACATGTTAATTTGTTTTGCCCTCTCAGTTACTTCCACGCTGAACACATTGTTGAGTTTGCTGATCAACAACACACTCCTATTGATGAAAATCAATTAAAGGCGTATTTGCTGACACCAGCTGTTCACCACTTGTGACTGAATTAATAAAGAATATAATTGAACAAGCTACACCTCATTACCATTCTGCACTTTTGACTCTGCTCTCTATTCATTTTTGACATGCTAACTGTCAGGAAGCATTTATCCAGATGGCCAGCGTCAGAGTGGCCAATCAACGACTGCAGCCATCTGTATCAGTGCGTGGCACCTTTGATTTTATACGACGTCCTGCAACAACAATTCTCATATGGCGTCTTTTAACATGTTACGTATAATTCTATCCGTTATTCCACAATGCATATTAAATAATAGCAGTTGGCCGGCATGGTGCGTGCACCAATGTGGAGGCTTTTGACCTAATGCAGAGAGTTTGGGTCCAGCTATAGCTGTTCATGCCTGAATGGCTGTGAAGAGAGCAATTATACACAGCCATTACCACACAATGGAGTTTAATTTCTGCTGCACCGCTGAAGCCACGGCCAGGTCTGGAACACAGGCTTCCTTAATCTGTCTTGGCTTGTGCCACCATTCAAACTTTTTCAAATCTGTAACAACCACTCTTTGGTGTCTGATGATGGCCATTTAAAGCTGTATCTGTGTTACTCCCCACAACAAATGTTTAAGGGTCACGTAGCATCCTGGTCAGCTATAGGCTGGAACTGTTTCGCTACAGAATTATTCTTTTTGCCTTAAATGTTTTACCTTTAATTAAAAAAAAAACAACTTTTGATTTAAATTAAATTGAATAAATGCTCCTGCATTTTATATTTGGTCCATCATGGTGACGTACAAGGGTCTTATCTCGACGCACAGAGGCTCTGGACAAAAGCATTATTTATTCCCCTGGGGGCACCGCAGAGTTAGGAAAGACACAACCTGCAATTACACTCAACAAAGAGTGCATTGTAAATAACTCACTCCTTAAGATAACTCTTTTTTTTAAATACCACATGAATGAGACAAATAATACTTTTCAAAAGTGTTTTTTTTTAACGATTTGGGTTTTTTTTTTAAATAACCTAAAAAAAATAAAATAACCTTTGATGACCAAGGGTTGTAATACATCAAGTAAATGTTGTTTTATTTTTTTTATTTGAATGGAATACGATTGAAGGCTTTCCTTTGAAAAATGGAAATATTTCTGAAATCAAAGTTAAAATTCTTGAAAAACTAATACAACTTTTTTTGTGAGCTCTCTGACATTGTTTTCAATATCAAATAATAAAAAACACAAATGTTTTGTTCCTTATAAAATGTTTTATTCACAATTGAAAATCTATAGTACAACAAAATAAAGGTCTGCATCTGAAAAATAATATATTTTTCAACTCTACAAACATTCTGACTCTCAGTTACACATTCACTTTTAACATGTAACTACATCATTTTCCCAGAAAACACTGAAAATTGCACATTTTGATGCCATATAAAAAAAAAACTGGTTAATGTTAAATTTAGTGATCATCATAATGACACTGTGGCTACATTTTGGACAATACCCAACGCTCATAAAGTCAATACTTTTAACAGGAGATTTAACATTAGCACAAATACTATATATAAAAAAATGTAATACACCTGTATTTACTGTCCCCTAGACTGCAGGAGAAATAATTCACATTGCCACTCGCAAAACAACAACGTGAATACAACAGTGGCCGCTCGTTACACGTGGACCTGGTGTGCATCAAACTGGTAGGAGAAGGAGGACTGGAGGAGCTCCTCTCCAGACGGGCAGTCGTACCCCAGGAGGCAGGGGTAGTTGTCATGCTGCACACAGTCCAACTGCAGCTCCAGCCACTGCCTGGGAGATGTGCTGTTGTTCCTCCTGGAGTCTGTTAGAATCCTGTTCAAGGCAACGATGTAACTGAGCGCCATCTGCAGGGTTTCATACTTGGACAATTTTTTGTCCTGGCCCCACTGAGGGACCACTTTCCGTAAGCGATCGAAGGCTGTGTTCAAACCCTGCATCCTCTTCCTCTCTCTGGCATTAGCAGCCATTCGCCGCCTTACAACGGTCTCAAACTTCTGAGGGCTGCTGCTGTCTAGTTCAGAGGACTCTGACCCCGAGTCGGTGCAGCTGGGCCTCCGGGACTTCATGTTTTTTTTGCAGGAGAATCAAACCAGCGACGGTCCTCAAGTTTCAAAGACTCCACTTGTGGACGGCAGCTTTGTTGGAGATTTTTCCAGGATTTATTAAAGAGTTTCTCAGATGTCTCCAGCCTGAAGTGAAGAAGTGATGAAGTGATCAGTCTGAGGAGGACGAGGTGACTGTGATGCTGCAGATCATGGAGATGCAGCTTTTATAAGACGAGGCAGATAAACAGGTGGCAGCAGGTGGAGGTCATGCCCCCCACCCTGCACCACCATCACCAACCCCAATATTGTTAACGAAGAAACAGTCTTGAACACACACACACACACACACACAATCTCTCTCTCTCTTAGAAAAGAGAGAGAGAGATTGTGACCTTAATGAAATTCCAATTATCCTGGACTGTGCTCTGTGGCCGAGGCTTCACTCAGAGCCATGTGTCACAAACACCAGAAAGTACCATCTGGTACTGAGTCACCAGCTGATAGTGTAAACACATTTTAAAAGGGCTGAATGGTAAGAAAATTGAATTTTAACAATATACATTTTCAACAAATGTCTTAGAAAGCATCAGAATTTTGACCTAAATATGAGACAAAAAGACGTTAAAATAACATAGCATTTCACTTAATTTAATTATAATTAATGTTTCAACATCAAGGATTGTTCTTTTTTCTTAAGAAAATCTTACCTCCCTCTGATTTTCTTGGTCATGTGTCAACTTTAAACTATTGTATCTTGTATACATTTTATACCTATGCCATAGTAAAAGTATTCCTTTCACTTTCTAATTAACTGGTTTTAATGTGATCATGAGCATAATCTGAGATTAGCCTGAGGCACCACAAGTGTAAGTGTGGTGTCTAACCTGCTCACAGCAGATCAGCGGATTATTGGCTCTGGATTATTGACAGTACAGAGCAGCAGAACCTATAAGATCACTGAGGTTCAGACCACAGCTTTGCAGGTCTGCTTTTTTAGCTTTTCTAAATTCTGTGCTGGTTATGGTTTTGTAAGTGAATGTCTTTTGTCTGTTCCAGGGTCTCCGTGAATCACAGCATGTGGGATGCATTAATGTTCTTCGTCTGCAGAGAGAGAGAGCACATGGGAAATTAATAATTGATCTGTGCAGTGGTCCAAGAAAATGAGTCTGTCCGTCCTTCCCATCTGGCACCAGTGAGTTCACAACATCAACCTCTCACACAACCATGCACTCACACTTTGAATTCCATTTATTAATGGTTTTATTGGTGTTTGTAATGAGTACAGTATAATGTTTTCACAACTTTCTTCATTTACTGATTGGTCTAACTACAATTAATGGATACTTCGTCAATATCTAGGTTATCGGGAACATTTAGATTTAAATTCAATTTTTATTCCAATTTTACTATACAGTATTCATGTGTGTGTGTAGAAAAATATTAATATTATTAGAATATAAGATGGCTTTTTATATAAATGGTAATAATCATTGCAGATAATGTTGACCTCTAATTTATATCATTATTATTATTTATTATTATTATTATTATTTACATCTGTCATTGCTCAGCATTTTCTGTATTTAATGTATGTAATTAGATGTGATGTGTTCACATCACCATCTCTGTACAGAGACTAATTAAAAGCTTGGCTTTAGAAGAAGGTTATAAATGATTAATAATTGTCAGAGAGAGAATAATGGCCATCTCTGGTACTGGGTCATGCACAAAAGCTGATGCTGTCTGCCCAGTTTGGGATGGACTGGTAAAATGTGCATTTAGGCATATAATCCCATCTACCAGTTGGTTCATTGATTACAGATTGATGTAGTTTGCCAGCTGTTGCTTGTCCTGTCTGAGGTTTCTTGTCTTCTAATTTATTTTTTTGTAACCCTTCACGTGATTGGTTCGTCTGAGTGCCATGTCTGCTGAACATGTCTTCTGTCAAAAGCCATATGTCATAAATGAGGAGTGACCCGGCCCTGTCCAAAAGAAACTAGTAGCATCTTAATCCATTCTTAATCTTATTCTGCAGATTAGGGCATGATGTGTGTGGTACAGTCTAGGAGAAAGTGCAGATCCTAATTTTAATGTCACACAAAATCACACATTTGGCTGTGCACTTTTTTGAAAAACACCTAAATGGAGCCACCTATTGGACCTTAAACAATCTATCAAAAGTATTATTTATTTAATTTTCACTCCTTACAAACCGTTACATTTAAATTCTCTGTTAAACCCACAATAAAAAAGTTTGTAAAACGGTAAAATCTTCAGGAACACAGACACAACAGTGAGTGAAAAAGTAGGTCTGGCAGCTGGTGAAATAAGGCAGCGAGTATAATTAGGTCACAAG